AATATTAATAAACATTAATAGCAATTAATGTTGAAATTGCTATTTCAACATTAATTGTAGAAATAGCAATTTCTATTGAAATTCCAATGGTATTTTTCACAGAAATAGAAATGACTTAAAATTTGTGCAAAATCACAAAGACCTCAAATAGTCAAAGCAATCCTGAGAAAGAAGAACAAAGCTGGAAGCAACAGATTTCCTGATTTTGAACATTACTACAAACCATGGTCATCAAAAAAGTATGGCATTGCCATAAAAATAGATACATAGACAAATGGAACAGAATTGAAAGCCCAGAAATAAACCCTCACATATATAGTCAACTAATATTTGACAAGGTAAACAATGGGAAAATGGCATAGAGTGTCACTGAATATCAAGTTCACTTATGAACTGGCCCAGTAACCACCAGTGAAGATTTTCTCATTGATCCTCACTGTCACCTCACTCCTAGGAAAACCTGAGTCATATTTAAAGAACTGGCTTAAGAGACCTTAGGAAGCAACCCAATTTTTTTAGAATTACAACAAAAGGCCAATGATAAAAAAATTTCTTCTCACATTTGCCCTGGTTTCAAATTCCTTGTTCTTTGAAAATGAAATCAGGGTGGAAACCAACAATTTGACTAGAATAGTTTAATTAAATGGCTTCTTCCCTCTTGGATTTTATTTTACATGAATTAACATCACTCCACATTATTTGATATCACACAAGGCAGTTCCAACCTAGTACCAACAACCTGGTCATTACACTGAAAAACTCCAGGAAAATTTCATGGATTTAATTTTAAAGTGACCGACAGAATATAGTTTCCTGTTTCTCTGTGTTGTAGCATTTCATTTAAGCTAAAGAGGAAATGTTCACAAACATGTCTCAGTTTCAGAATTAGAGTCCTGGGCAAAACTTCCACTTTTTGTACTGATCCTCACAGAAGGCAATTCCTCAATGGAACACAATCATTACAATAGAAAGCCTCCAAAACCTCACTCAGTATTTCCCCTAGATTTTGTTGTCCTAATTCTGGCCACCCCCTAGGAACTGGATGAGCTCTAGAGATTGGAAAGAGACTGCACTCCAGGAAACACTTGAAGAAGCCACTGAGACCACTTGGGGATAGACATAGATTTTTGGAGTACTCCCTGAGAGGAAACATAGATTAAATACAGCTTCACTTGTTAAATGTCTCAGCAAATTACTAGAAAATAAGCACTGAGAGCCTCCAGAAATTAAGGAAGTCTGATGAACCACACAGAGTGCTCTCACCTGGAGTTTTTCTCAACAGAGCCAATGAGAAGGAGATGCCTTTATGTTCAACATCATGGTGGCCATTGTTCTCTCCAAGCTGAGCCAGGTTATCCATCATGTATGAAAGAGAAAAAAGGGCTAATTGACCACATTACAGCCACTGTTGTGATATACTGCAGAGTACCTTTTACTTTACAAATCTGATTAGTCATTGTTCCTCAGTAGCAGGAGAATGTAAATGTTCCATATTTGAACACTTAATATTCACTGGGTGAAAAGTCAAACACCATCTGTGAAGCCTATCTGTAAAGTGAACAGTTAAAATAGATCATCTGCACCATTTTCACCCCCAAATTCTATGACTTTGACTATTAGGAACCATCTTTCTGAAATCTCACTTTCCAAGAGTAACCAGGCAATAAACTCTTCTCTCAGACTATCTGGGAAGACAGTATACCAAGTGAGGAACATTTGGAAGAAAACTATTTAATCAAGCTACCATTCTTGAGGTGGGTAGACTGATTGATTGGTTGGTTGGTTGGTTGGTTGGTTGGTTGGTTGGTTGGTTGGTTGGTTTCTTATATTGGAAAGGAGTATATGAAAGAGCTGGTCCCTCAGATTGTAGCTCATATGGTAATTTATGAAAACCAAAATCATGAGATACAGTATGTTTATGAAATAAAATGGTGGATATTCCATTCTATTAACCTAACCATTCTCAGCAAGTAATTTTGGAAGCTTTGGAGTGTGGAGTTATGCAAAAGCTGATGGAGTCATTTTATTCTATCAATGGTTAAAATGAAAATTTATTACCCTGGATTTTCTATTAAGCTTCTCACCCTTTGATCATCTCATTACTTATGTACACATTCACCAAAGGCTACAGGAGAAATAGTGTTGCTACTAGTAAATTTCACAGGGCATGGTGGTAGAAAAGATAAAATGAAGTATGAAGTTTCCAGGGTATAATGCAGAGTGGCCCAAACTGTTATTCTCATTAAGCAGACATGGTCCATTTTTCAGAAAGGAGGACAGGAAGCACAAATCTCATGAATCAGCCTCTTGGATTAAATCTACGAGCCTAGACTGAGTTCATGACCCACAGCAGGAAACTGATTTATTTATGCTTCATAAATAACCATCTGGGATCATTTCTTGAGCACCTTATTAAGTGAAGTTGGTAAAAAGAAATGTCTTTTGAATTCAGTATTGACTAGAAAACTGTTCTTTAGAATTTGGATGCTCAAACCTACCTTTTTTATGCTTCTTTAGAAATGCCAACAGGGGACTAGTAATACTAGTTTCAAGAATTGAAGTTCAAATAGTGGTTTATTCTCTGTTTTTTGTCTTTCAAATTTCTTTGGCTTCCATTTCTGACAAAGTCATGACTGGTAACCTCCAATAAACAAGGCAAGAAATATGAATTTAACAGGAGGACTCAATATCAAAAATATCATGTTTAAGACTCTTACTTGATGCTTTTTAACATTAATAATTGCAAGATTACTGTTTCTTAAAGGTAAAGATTTTTACAGTTTTGTTCAATTCTTAAATATAAATTTTAAAATAATTTTTCAGTCTTCACCCCAGGATATTTTTTCATTGCTTTTAGAGACAGAGGAAGGGAGAGAGAGAAACACTGATCATTTGCCTTCCATATATGCCCAGACTGGGAGTCAAACTCACAGCCTAGGTATGTGCCTCAAACAGAAATTAAACACACAACTATTGGTTACAGGACAACACTCCAAGCAACTGAGCCACACCACCCAGAACATTAAATATAAATTCTTAAATACTACTGAAAAGTACCTGCTCATCCAAATATTTGAAAATGTACTCTCTCCCCTTTCAGAAAACAAAATTAATTTTCCACGATAAAATCCCATTTAACCTCAGATCCCTTTGTTTTTATCATCTAAAAATACTCACAAAATGAACTAAATCTTTGTGCTGAAATCACTATTTTCTTTATTTTATCTAAGTAGAATCTAAAATGAAAAGTAAACAGTTCATATTGCATAGTATGTGTAAAAAACATAAAGATAAACACTTGCAAATAGTTAGAGATATTCAAAACTACTATGCTCATTTATCCTTTAGAGCCAATATATTTGATATACTAGGTCTTTTGTGTATTTTTAGGTGTCACTCAACTGGTTACAGTGACATTTTAAAAGAAAATCTTTAAAGCAAAATTGAAGAACAGCTTTGAGTCCTAAGTGTAGTGACATTTGTGACAATTAATTCAGTTGATTAGACTATTCAGAAAAGCCAGTGTCCTGGAGTAAGTTTTACATCCATGTGCAATTCAACTAACTGTGTTTGGTTGCCAAGGTTTTAACCCAATATCACATCATCTGTTCTCAAAATATATGTCTTCTTTTTTAACCATATAAGCTGAATAAGACAAAGTGGATGAGCTTGTACATGAAAACCCTTAGTCAACTTTAGAAAACAAACTAAAATCAGAACAGGTCTTCTTAAGGACCAAAGAAAAACAGAAATAAATTTCTGTGGTTGTATCAATGATGTGGAAAACTCTTGCTGCATTTGGATTCTAACAAAATAATACTGAGATTTAGAACCACAGTCAATCCAAAATAAGGTAAGATTTATTCCCACCTGGTCTCAAAATATCTCACATATTTTCCTGCAGAATTTAAGTTCCCTCATCAATAAAGTCCTTGAGATATGTAGGAAGCAAAGCAACTTGGGTTTACACTCATGCCTTTCTCCTTATAGATTTAAGACCTATGAACAGGTCAGCAACAGACGTTGTGACTGAGTTTGTTCTCCTCGGATTCCCTGGTTGCTGGGAGATACAGATTTTCCTCTTCTCATTGTTTTTGGCAATTTATATCTTGACCTTGCTGGGGAATGGAGCCATTATCTGTGCAGTGAGATGGGACCCACGACTACACACCCCCATGTACTTCCTGCTGGGAAACTTTGCCTTCCTTGAGATCTGGTATGTTTCCTCCACCGTTCCTAACATGCTAACCAACATTCTTTCCAAAACCAAGGTCATCTCATTTTCTGGTTGCTTCCTCCAGTTCTATTTCTTCTTTTCCCTTGGCACAACAGAATGTCTGTTCCTGGCAATAATGGCTTATGATCGGTACCTGGCCATCTGCCACCCACTGCACTACCCCACCATCATGACTGGGAAGTTCTGTGGAATGCTGGTGTCCCTCTGCTGGCTCATTGGGTTCCTTGGCTACCCAATCCCCGTTTTCTTCATTTCCCAACTCCCCTTCTGTGCATCCAATGTCATCGATCACTTCCTGTGTGACATGGACCCACTGATGGCTCTGTCCTGTGCTCCAGCCCCCATTGCTGAATTTATTTTTCATATTCAGAACTCCCTTGTCCTTTCCCTCACTATTTTGTATATTCTCCGATCCTACACTCTGTTGCTCAGAGCTGTTTTTCAGGTCCCTTCTGCAGCTGGCCGGAAAAAGGCCTTTTCCACTTGTGGTTCTCATTTAGCTGTGGTGTCTCTTTTCTATGGAGCAGTCATGGTAATGTATGTGAGCCCTGCCTATGGCATCCCAACTTTGATGCAGAAGATCCTCACACTGGTATATTCAGTAATGACTCCTCTCTTTAATCCCCTGATCTATAGTCTTCGTAATAAGGACATGAAACTTGCTCTGAGAAATCTCCTCTTGAGAATGAGAATTAGTCATAATTCATGAGCCAGAAATGTGCCTTACTTCCAAGCTCTAGTAAATAATAAGTTGGAGATATATAAGTGCCTTCCATCATCTTTTAGTCCTTATTCTGAGGACAAAAATACCTACACTGACTATAAAGGCCTTGATTCACTGGACTGTGGCATGCAGTGAAAATTTTTTAAAGGCTGTCTTATTGGAATGATAAAACAGAATTCCTATATGAGAGAAGTTAGACTTTCATGAAAGATTTATCACCAGTTTTAGAACAAGTCTAATGACCAAGTGTTGGTATCCCCCACTATCCAAAGGTAAAGCATTCCTATGAAACCTTTCTTAAGGTGATGTGGCATATAAGGAAGAAGCAATTACCATTAATTTAAAAGCAATAATCTTCTTTGGACTTTAGTTAGGAAAAAACAGGTACTAATGTAGGTCTTTCATAAAAACAAAGTGGCGTAATGCAAACTTTTGAAAAGCAGGGGATATCTATAGTTAAAGGTGCAGTGAGGTTTTTGTGTTTATTTTTTGTTATTGTTTTTTTTATTGCTGTTAAGTACAGTTGCCTCCATTTTCCCACCACCACTCTCCACTGCCCCACCTCCTACCCTCAATCTTATGCCCCTTTGGCTTTGTCCGTGGGTCCTTCATACATGTTCTTTGTTGACCCTTCCCATTCTTCCCCCCATTATTCCCCCTCCTCCCCTCTGGTTACTATCAGTTTGTTCTTTATTTCAGTCTCTCTGGTTATATTTTGCTTGCTTGTTTGTTTTGTTGATTAGATTCCACTTACAGATAACATCATATGGTATTTTTTTCATCGCCTGGCTTATTTCACTTAGCATAATGCTTCCCAGTTCCATCTATGCTGTTGCAAAGGGTAGGAGCACCTTCTTTCTTTCTACTGTGTAGAATTCCATTGTGTAAATGTACCATAGTTGTTTGATCCACTCATTTATTTAGACATAATTGATATACAAAAAGAGTGCATATGTTTAATATATATTAAATGTACAGTGACTTTTAAGTAGCCATGAGACCTTTCTATAATCTTTAACAGACATCCCTCTCTTATACCTACTCTACCAATTTTACCTAATGCATTTCCTCTCTATTGAGGAAAAAAAAAACCACTTCCCTGACCAGAAGGAACTTTTTCAACAAATTTTCCCGGGGATATAATTCCTTTGTGATAAGTTTAAAATAAACCTTGGATACCTGCTAAATAATAATGTCAAAGTTGCTTTTAACACTTCTGTTATTACATGTACCACATTGGAGTGTAATTTCTTTATTTAAATGTACTTCCCCTGAGGGAAAATTGCCTTCTTCATTTCTAGAGCCCCAATACACAGTGACAAAGAGGAAAGCAGCCCCTGGCAATTGGGACCAGGTTGTCTTGGTGTTGCCAGGAGTTCTTGGAGCTCACAACCAGGCCGTGGTGTAATCCTGTTGAACATTAGCAATTTCACAGATGACCAGCATCAGACAAGGTCATTCTGTGACTATGATGGATCAAGACAAAACACTACCATTCTATAACCAAGTCTGAGTAGAGATAAAATCAAAACACTATCCCAACCAGAAAAAAATGACCATACATTGTCCTCTGTAGGCTAAAATGAGTGACTGCTGCCTCTTTACCAAGTATAGCCTTGGCCAACTGCCTTTTAGATAAAAATTAAGAGACCAAACCACAGAATTTTCCTCTACTTTGGGTCTCCAGAAAAAAACCTATACTTCCTTAAATTCTCCTGAAAATCAACTAACACAAGCCCAAATCATATAATAAATCCTTCCTAGCTTTGACTGGTGTGGTTCAGTGAATTAGGTATTGTTCTGCAAACCAAAAGGTTGCAGGTTGGATTCCCAGTCTGAGCACATGCTTGGGTTGCAGGCCCAGTCCCCAGGTGAGGCATGTGTGAGAGGCAACTGATCGATGTTTCTCCCCCTCTCTTTTTCCCTCCCTTTCCCTCTCTCTAAAGAAATACAATCTTTTAATAAATAAATAAATTCTTTCTAACATCTTCCTACTGAGATGCTCCATGTTCCTCATGATCTATGTTCTCCCTCATTGTAAGAAGCCAATAAACCCATCTTTATTCAATGACAAATGTGTTCCCCGTGGTCTTTATGTGGTTAAGAACCAACAGTAGCATTAGGTTGGCCAAAAAGTCCACATGGTTTTTTCCATATAAGACACATTTTTCGCCCTGGCTGGTGTAGCTCAGTGGATTGAGCGCAGGCCTGCGAACCAGACAATCACGGTTCGATTCCCAGTCAGGGCACATACTGGGGTTGCAGGCAGGTTCCCTGCAGGCCAGTTCCCAGCAGGGGACGCATGAAAGGCAACCGTACATTGATGTTTCTCTCCCTCTCTCCTTCCCTTCCCCTCTAAAGATAAATAAATAAAATCTTAAAAAAAAAGACACATTTTTCATTTTCACCAATAGTTTTATTGATTTGGATATTTTGAGAATGTCGACCATCTCCTGAGTGTTGTAATGTCCACTGTTCTCAATTAATGTTTCAATGTGACTGCTATCAATTTTAGCTGGTCTACCCAACAGTGGAGCATCATCCAGTGAGACATTTCCAAAACAAAAATTCACAAACCACTTTTGATATGTTCTGTTGCAGTATTTTTTCCATGCACTGCACAAATCTTTTTTTGCATTTCAGTTGCATTCTTACCTTTCTTGAAATAATAAAGCATAATATGCCAAAAATGTTGCATGCTTTCTTCTATCTTTAACATTAAAATGGCTACACAAAAAATTCACTGATTTTAATGAGTTTTTTAAATGCACTCTGAGAATTTCCAGTCAAGATGGAGGTGTAAGCAGCCACATTTCACCTCCTTGCACAACCATAGAAAAAGTTACAACCAGATCTCAAAAACAAATAATACTCAGTACTGTCTAAAAATCAAGCTCTATGGAAACCAGACAACAAAGGTATTAAAGAAGCCACATTCACCCAGGTGGGTAGGAGGGGTGGAGTCATGGAGACATGGTAGAGAGGTGGTGTGGCACAGACAAGCTGCAGCAGTGGAGGGATGGTCCCACATTCATGTCTGGTGGATAAAAATGGGGAGGGATACCCTGGGAGTGAGCAATTCCAGCTCAAGGCCAGACCACACAGCCCAGGGTTCCAGCACCAGGAAGATAAACCCCCACTACCTGTGGCTGTAAAAACCAGTGGGGGTTGGGACAGTAGAAGAAACTGTCAGATTTTCAATGCCTGTAGGGCCCATGTGGACTTACAATGTACACAAACCCTAGGGCAGCAGCTAGAGGGGCACCAATTGCACACAGGAAGTGGGAGAAGTGACTGCACATGGGTGCAGACTGACAGTGGGTGAAATGGGGCAAGCACATGGAGGCTAGGCAGCAAAGTTGTCCCTTCTACACACCCCCACCACCACCACCACAAGTGGAGCTATGCAGTGGTGAAGTGGGTTTCCCTGCCCTGGCAATTATCTAAGGCTCTGCCCCACACAATTTATAGTTGCCTTTGCTACACAGGCCATGCCACTAAGGCAGGGAGTAAAAGCAGCTCTACCTAATACACTGAAATACACACAGGGAGGTTGCCAAATTGAGGAGACAAAGAAATATGGTCCCAGTGAAAGAACAGAGTAAAAACCTAGAAAAAGAACTAAATGAAATGGAGATAGCCAACATATTAGATGAAAAGTTCAAAACACTGGTGATAAGGATGCTCAGAGAACTCATTGAGTACACCAATAAAATAAACACACAAACAAATAAAGGAATGAAGGTTATACAAAGTGAAAAAAAAAGAAAAATATATAGGAAACCAAAAGTGAATGGAAAGAAGCCAGGATTAAAGTCAATGATTTGGAACAAAAAGAAGAAATAAACATTCAACTAGAACAGAAAGAAAAAACAAGAATACATAAAAAAAGAGAGAGAGAGAGGCTTAAGAACATCGGGGACAACTTTAAATGTACCAGTATCTGAATCATAGGAGTGCCAGAAGGAGAAGAGGAAGAGCAAGAAATTGAAAACTTATTTGAAAAAAATAATGAAAGACAACTTCCCTAATTTGGAAAAGGAGATAGACATACAAATCCAAGAAGCACAAAGAGTCCCATACAAGTTGGACACAAAGAAGAACACACCAAGTTGCATCATAATTAGAATGTCAAAGGTTAGAGATGAAGAGAGAATTAAAAGCAGCAAGAGAAAAGCAGTTTACCTACAGAGGAGTTCCCATCAGACTGTCGGATGATTTCTCAAAAGAAACTTTGCAGGCAAGAAGGGACTGGCAAGAAGCATTCAAAGTGATGAAAAGCAAGGACCTACAACCTAGATTACTCTATCCAGCATACCTATCATTTAGAATTGAAGGGCAGATAAAGTGCTTCCCAGATAAGGCAAGACTAAAGGATCATCATGAAGCCATTACAGGAAATGTTAAAGAGAATTATTTAAGAAAAAGAAGATCAAAACTATGAACATTAAATGACAACAAAGTCACAACTATCAGCAACTAAAGCAAAAAAGAAAAGGAAAAAAAACCTAAGCAAACATCCAGAACAAGAGCAGACATAGGTGTGAAGGCCATTTGGAGCGTCATCAGCTAAGATGAGAATGGGGGACATGGTGCAGAGATCAAGAAGCATAATTGGTAGGAACAGAATAGACAAGGGGGTGTTACAAATAGTGCAGGAGAGGGAGATGCCAAAGAACTTACACTTGTGACCCATGAACAGAAACTAAGGAGCAGGGGGCACTGTTGGGGGAAGAAGGGCAGAGGGGGAAAAGGGAGAAAGATTGAGACTATAACAGCATAATCAATAAATTATACTTAAAATAAATAAATGCACTGTGATATTGACAGCCATCATATTGTTTCAAATGAAGTTAAAGACAACTAGAACCATCTTACGGGCAAGAAATGAACTAACTCTTTGCCCAACCCAATATAATACTTAGCATATAATAAGATCTGAAAATGTTTGTTAAATATTTTTATCTCAGTGTTGTTACTTAGAA